GTTCTTACTGCACATCTGTTCACATAAATCCAAAACCCCTAAAAGCTAAACCCCTCAGCCCTAAGCCCTAAACCCCTCGACCAGCCCTAAAATCCTAAACCCAATACACGAGCCTGTGGCTTCCTAAGAGTTTGCACGCTTCAGCTGCAAGTCACCTACCACTCCTTGGCTTGTAAGGGCCCAAATAATCGTGCTCTAGGTAGGGTTGAGGGTTTTGAGGGCTTAACGTTTAGGGTCTAGGGCTTCGGCATTCAGATTCTGGTATTTGGGGCCCGAGGTGCTTGGACCCTCAGTTAAGCCCTGGGTTCAGCAACTGGGCTTCCCTCCAAATTGCCTAGTGCTTAGTTGGGGATGAAGGAATGGATCCCTCAAGTAATCCGATCATAATAACCCCCCCGGAGAGTGGTCCCTGCATAACCCATACCATGCTCCCTATGGAACCCCCCCCCGGAGGGGAGAGGATCTCCTCGACCTTAAACCCTTAACCCTCAAATCTAAACCCCAAATACAAACCCTAAACCCTAAATCCTCCCTCCACTTGCTGCTCAAAGGCGTCCTGGGAAGCAGCACAATCGACTCGGAGGCTCTCCAGCTCACCTGGGGAGACTCCAGGCCCTTTCCTTCCACTGAGCTGCTGTTAAGGAATTCTTAGACATGTACAAGGATAAGGAAACCCAACATCTCGTTCAGGGTTAACGGTTACTGTAATCCATGTTGATATAGGGGTTCTATAGGGTTATGTAAGATTATATAGGGTTGTTTGAAAGGTTGAACGGGTATAGAAGGACAGTGGAAAGGAAAATGGAGACTTCCAATAACGAACTTAAGTCAAGCTACTAGAATACGGACACCCATCATTTTCTATTTTCCCAAAACATGGTATCTTAATTGAGTTCCTTAGCAGCAACCCAGGCCAAGGCTTCCTTGTTAGATAAGCTTCAGGGTCCATGTCTTGTGGACCAGATGGGCGAGATGAGTATAGTACCGTCATATAATGTGAGGAACCCTGCTTTATAAGGGAGGTGAGGATCTTTGGGAATATTATGGGAATAGATTTACTCTTAAAGCCTCGCTCTTAATCCCCCGGCAGTTTGGGGTAGGAAGGCCGCGAAGTCCTTCTTCGGTGCCAAGGGCTACCAGTTGGGACTTGACATCTACAACCCGTTAGCTCAGAAGCGTGACCGCAGATCTCGGAGGGACACCAACTGCAAACTCTTTTGTTTGGATTGTCCAGGTATCTCTGACGGTGTGTTCCCCTCACAACTTCAACCTCAAATGCCAAACCCTAAGCCCTAAACCGTGAACCCCTACACCCTGAATCCTGAATCACAACCTTTCCTTGCATCGTACAGCTTTTGTTCGACACCGAGCATGCCCCTTCCTTATCAAAGCCTACTCGAATCTTATCGCCACATCACGAATCAGAAACTGCATTATGCACTTGTGCATCAACAGCTGCCAACGTCCTGCAATCAAAGCTGTTTAGAATGAAAAAAGAAAATGGACGGGACCCTACTCCCAGTCTCCACTTCATGTTCCAAATTCTTTTCCGATTGGTTCTCCGTTCATAACAGCATAATCCCGTACAACCCTAAGCCCTATACTCCCTTACATATTCCCTAAATCAGTAAGCCCTAAACCTTAAACTCATAAAACTGTAAACTTTATATCCAGCAATCATCCCGCAGTCCAACCCAGAGTTTAAGTTGCAGATGCAGCCACGTGGTAGTTTCCAAACAAGCGGGGCAATGCAGACCCCCAAATATTGTCATCCTTATGAGATCAAAGCCCTAAACCCTAAACCCTGAAAAAGGACCCCGAATTTTCGGAAACCCCCAAGTGGACCTTCAAGAAAGTTGGGCAGAAGCTGACCGAGGCGTGCGTCCACCTCCAGGGAGCTGCTTCGGGGTTAGGGTTCAGGATTTTAGGGGTACAGGGTTTAGTGATTCGGGAGCGGGGCCGACTCTGTGGAAAAAAAATTAGGGGTTCAGGTTCAGGGAGTTGGTGGCTAAGTGTTCCAAGTGCTGCATTTGTTTCAGTACCACTTGTTCCTTTACAGTTTCGGGCTTGTAGTTTAGGGCTTTGGCGGCTAAGAGTCCTCATGGTGAGTGGAAAAGTGGGTGCCCGTTACCCTAAGCCCTCTCCTCAGAATGAACTCATATCATATCAACCTTGTACGAGGGTTGGTTCAGTTTGCTCTATGAAGAACTTTCGCAACCCAAGCTGGAACTGGTTGGAACACTTGGATGAAGAACGCTTTCTGTTGACCCTTTCCCCACAGAGCCTGCCTGCATGTCCACCCATGCCTGAGCTGATGCTTGGCGGAAGGATCACACAAGCAGAAGGACAACGGACCCATGTTCATCGAGCCGTGAGGCGTCGACCTTTAACATTATTCCCTAACAAGTAGCTTCCATTTTCTTTTCCATTATCCCAAAATAACCCTAGTATATACCCTATAATGCCTATATAATCCACTATAGAAGTTTTCCATTTTCTTTGCCATTATAGTTGCCATGACACCTGGTCTCCACACGGCATCTTGCCGACCCATACATACCCTATTATAATATAGTAGTTTCCATTCTATTTTCCATCATCCCTATAACTACTATATGGTGTATTAGAGCTACATAAGGATAATGGAAAAGTCTATTTTCCTTTCCATTATTTCTATAACTACTGTATAATATTTTGGGGCTATATAAGGATAATGGAAAGGAAGATGGGAACTACCATAATGGGGCTATAAAGGCTCAGATGCCCTTAGCTGCACTCCGTAGGTGGCCACTGCAGCATCGTACTTTCCGGGCGCACCTCCACCTGCAAGGACGCAGGGCCTTGAACATGGGTTGTTGGTCAAAGGATTCGGATGCATTGTATCTTTCTATGTTCTGATTCTTGCTGTTTTGTTCTTGATAATGATGCTTCCTGATAATTATGCTGAAGCTGTTGTTAACATTATTGTGCTCATGTACTATTGCAATTTCTTTCAACTACCTTTATTGGTGTATAATCCAAGCCCGCTGGGAGAGGAGCTTGAACGAAGCCTTTTCTGTCCTTGCTCCATGAAATGTCTTAGACCCTTTGCAGCCAGAGTTCACAATCACAAGTCAAAGCACCGGCTTCCTGCCACTGAAGTCTTGATTCTGGCTTTTCAGATTCAGGACGCCCTGAAACCCCTGGAATTCAGCATTAAGACGGCTTACCACCAACAACTGCCCATCAACCCATGCCTTGCGAGCGCTGGCGCGTGACCTGGTTGTGGGAAATAGTATAGCAAGCGTTTTCTTGAACAGTGCTCCTGCTGCTGTATGGAAAGCCACTAACAGCAAGGGTACGAGCAGCAAGGGCACGAGGACTAGGAACAAACAGGCACGGTCACGGGCCACGGGCTCTTAGAAACGTCATCAGGCAAGACACAAGGTACAGAGGACCCACTGGCAAGTAACAAAAACAAATTCAATTGAAAAAGCCGATGGCCATTTTCAAGCAACCTGATCGCTGCAATGCAGCGTGCGCAGACGAAAAGCGAAATGAGGTGAAGACTAACTCCAACATTAAAGTAGCTGTAGACCGTGGAAGCATTCCGAAAACATGCCTCTGCACAGGCTTTGTGCCTACATGAGCTATAGGTATAGGGGAGCATTATCGGGGTTATAAAGGGAGATACTAGGAGTTTAGACCCCAAACCCTAAGCCTTCCGAAGCCTTTAGGCAAGGCTCCCTTCGCACGACTGAATTGCACTGCCCCTACCACAAACCATAAATCCTAAACCCTACGCAAGCTAAAGCCTTTCTTAGTTTTGAGTTGCTGTTAATCTACTATAGTATATTGTCATGTAATATAGTATCTTATAGCATACTTTAGTACATCATAGTAGACTATAGTAGATTGGAGTATATTATAGGAACATAAACTACGCTACCAGAATATGGGTACATAGTAATTAGTAGGGTTGCCTTATTGCTGCAATTTAGCTTAAGTTCCTTAAACGCAAGCCAGTCATTTGAGCCCCTAAAACTGATGTTGGCCTCGGCTCGAAACACTAACCCTGCACAGCCAAATCCTCCAAACCCTCAGCCCTAAGCCCTAATAGGTACTATTGCCTTCCCTAATTAATACTGATATAATTGCCATTTCTGTTATCACCACGAATACTACGGTGAATACTAAACATCCTGTATGACCCGAAGTGGCTTATACCCTTGTATAGTAAGGTCATGCAAGATTCTTCGTGCCAACAGTATTCTTGGGGATCCCTAAACCATAAACCCAAAACCCGATAACAGTAGTTCTAGTTCTCTTCAAACCCAAACATGCAGCAATCAGTACACCTGGAGACGACCGGGGACCCGGCCGTCTGCTGCAAGGCCTCTTCTAAAGCCTCCACCTGGAGCAAAGGATCTGGCTTTTTAGTGCATACATAAGATTTGGGGGCCGCGGGGCTGGGGGTGGGGTGGATTTAGAAGGACTTAAGGTTTTTGGCGCTTCGTGTTTAAGGTTTAGGCTTGTTTGGTCTGGGGTTTGGCAGGGTTAAGGCCGAGGGTTGGGCCCATTGTTACTTGCTGGCTTGTGTTGCTTCTGTCACATTTTCACGCTTCCTAACATACATACTGTCGTTAGTATGCATACAATTTAACTCCTGTTGTTATGAGAAGGAAGGAAGGAAGCACCTCTCCTGGGATAGACTTAGGGACCTCGTCAAGATTTACTGCCTGTGGGTTGTATAAGATGATATAGCGACTGTGGTCCAGAATACTTAGGATTTGTAGGGATGATCATTCACGATAACTAAGAAGTTTTTTCCAAGGGCATACCCGAGTTGTCGGCTTGAGTAGCAAGGGTCCCGCAGCCTGGGCACACTCCAAGAAGATGTCGCGGGACATGAGCTGTTAGCTGTTAGACTGGGATCCATGCTAGGCATTTTGTTGATTTTCCCAAACCCTGCTCATGGCCGTCCGACGTTGGAGCACAAAGGCTTCACGCGGTTTTGGGTTTAGGGCAGAGGCAGAATCAATGCCAAGATATGGCTCCGTCCTGGGCGAAACTTAGGGTTTGCGGCGGTTTAGGGCTTAAGATGCCGGGTTTAGGGTTGATCTAGGTGTTGCAAGCGATCCAACCGCTGCAGTCAGCTTCAGGGGCTCATCCTGGCTCCTCAAAGCAACAGAAAGAACAATAGTAATCATAATCGCAATAAAAAATAGTCCACCAGAATAGTAGTAATGGCAATACTAGCAATTGTAATAATAGCAAGAATCGTTATAGCTTACAACCATGCGGACTACGCACGCCTCTGCACAATGCATAGCGTGGTGGTGAATCTTCGAATCCAAAGATGGTTCTTTCAAACGGAATGAGGTCTCTTTCGAGAGGACTGTTGATGGTACTTAAACTTGTTGGGGCATCTCAGTTGAGCCCCTTTATCATTCAAGCATTGCAAAAGCTTACTTGTACTTTGCAGCTCTACCCCTCCAGTATCCTTAAAGCTTGCCACACGACCTCACACCCCGAATCTTTTTTTCTCAAGACCACTTCAAAGTCAACACTTCTGGTTTTGAAAGCCCTTTGAGCCCAAACCAACAGAACTCTTCTCAACCCGACAGATAACAGCTCCAGCAAAAAAGAACTGGCCTCCTCGATCACGGCCTCAGCGCCAACTGCGTCTGCTGTGGCCTCCAGAAGCAGAGGGTTTCATCTTACTGGTGGTTAGCAGACCCGTTCATCACTACTATGAGATCTAGCCTACAAACGCCTGTACGAGGAAACACTGCATGCGGTGGATGGAGAAAGTCTGGCAACACTTGGGACCCCCCAAAATACTGTAATTATTGAGGTATAGGGTATACAAAGTGGTGCTAGATTTCCTCCATCCACGGTATCTTCCCACCATCATCCCTAAACCCTAAACCGTAACCTGAAACCCTAAAAAAAGAACATAATTCCTGAGGCTTAGGTATAAAAGGTCAGGCAGGACTTTGTGCATCAACAGTATGTAGCAGCTATCCAGCTTGCGTCGGGTAGTGAAAATGTGTACCATGATACGAGCATATGTGGGGAGTATGTACGGATAGCTGCACGTCATAAGATTTCCGAGGGCTATCCCTGCAAAAATTGAAACCCACTAACTCTCGCTACCCTAAACCCTAATCCCTAAACTCTATGTATCCCGACATACCCCCGCATTGTAGTTGGTTTACATAGATTGGGGGCCCTATCATCGACCTCTATAATGCTCATTCTTGGGACTTCCCCCAATTTTTGGAAACTCCCTACAAGCGCTACACCCCAAGCCGTAAACCCTCAACGCTCTACCCCTATATTATCCATATGATCCCCCTTGAGGGGATCGCCCCATGTCAGCCCTTTGATCCCCCCGAAATGGACTCCCCCAAAGCAATCTCCAGCTGGGCATAGCACTCGCCGGTGCGAGCCGCTTCGGAGAGCCTTTGCATGGATTTGAGGTTCAAGGTGGTTGGTGGGACCTTTCAAGGTTGCACTCTATGGTTCAAGGTGGTTATAGGGACCTTTAAAAACCCTAAACCCTCAACCCTAGGCTAAACGGGTTCTGGGGCCTGTCACAGGAGGGTTTAGAATCTGGGGCTTTAGAGTTTAGGGGTTAGCAGTGGGGTTAGGGTCTGGAGTTGGGGTTTATGCGGCTTAGACGGTGTCAAAATCCAGGCCTCCTGCTAATCTTGGTGAACAAGAGCATCCATGACTAAAACATGATCGAAGCATAGAGCAGGTGATTGCGAAACTGGTCCAGAACCTGAGAACAAGCAACAAAATCTTCTGGTAGTCCCCATCCTACTTGTAGTATAATGTACTGAAGATCCTAATACGATGCTCCTCAGGCTGTTCCCTCAGGTTGCTCATGAGGCTTTAGGGTTTAAGGTTTGGGGCTTAAGGTCTAGGGTTAGGCTAATGCAAAGCTTTCGGACCATATGCCATCTGGGAAGCAAGCGTTACATGTAAACGATGCAGACTTTGTTGGCCTGAATCGCAGATCTGCAATGTCTGGGAATTAGTGACGAGACCCTGAACTCCAAGCCCCAACCCTAAACCCTAAATCCTGAATAGTAGTGTCCATTTCATCTTCCATTTGATACTCCATTCACCGTGTGCCACTTCAGCACTCCACCTAACCTCAAATCTGGAACCCTGAAGCCTGAACTTCTCAGAACTCAACTCCTGTCTATATTGGTTTTTGATGTGTGTGTATACATATATATATGCCGTTTCTGATACGTGTATTGTTACAACTAATGCTCTTATCAACATTCTAAAGTCCCGCATGCAAATCTCAAATCCTCACGCTTGCTCAAACCGAGCAGCTGCCGTCATTGAGCAGCGAGCCGGCAGAAAGGAAAGTTGGCTTGGGGGTTTTGTGGTAACTTCTTGGGGCTGGTTGGGCTGGTTTGTCCTCTGCATTTAGAGCTCTGCTTGCCAGGGCAGACTTTTGAGGGGCGTGCAGCACAAGCTTTGTGAATCCACACGGTTTACAGATACTGAAACCACCAGGCTCTAGAAACGTTGGGTCCTCACATCCCACCTTTCATATCTCCCCTTTGAGCCGGGAGCTTTGGCACAGATTTTGCTGCAGAAGGGCACAGACCCGCAAGTTTGAACAGCCATGGGGCGCCAGAGGCTTCCTAGGGCTAAGGGCTTAAGGTTTAGGATTTAGGGGCCCTGCAAACCAACCTCGAGGGGTTGCAGGGTTCGTGGAGAATCAAACGGAAAAGAAAATGGAAAATGAAATGGAAGATGAAATGGAAACTGAGTTCATACAAGGATTTAGGGCAATTTAGGGGTACCTACCCAATAATTTGCATTCATAATGCCCTTTATCGTTTGTCTAACTTTTCAGAATGTGCTTTAGCCCTGTCTGCTTCCCAACTGCCGGTCAGGGCGTTTGAAGAAACTTCACCCCCCAGAAGGACCAACCCCTTGAACCCCAAAGATGAATTTCGGGTTTAGGGTGTAGGGGTCTGAAACCCCAAAGATGAATTTGGCGGCCTTATCTGGAACCTGTTGTTTTGTTCCGACCCAAGATATCTTGTTCCAACGGAAGATTTCTCAGGCAGCCTTGTTTAATCAAAGCATTTTGCGGGCTCCCCAGCTAACCCCCAAGCCCCTAAAATGTGGAGTCACATGGAGACTGAAATGGAAACTGGGATTATATAGTGATTATGGCAGGCGATCAGAGGATTTCGGTAACCCCAAAAGCCATAAGCCGGATCCTACTATTGCGGTTCGGGGTTTGGTCTTGGCCAAATTCCTCTTATCCTCATGTGCGTCCTGTTGCATTCATCTGGTCTCAGCTCTGTGCCAGGCATCAGTCCCATTAACTGACCCCAAGCTGCCAGGATAGCACAGATATTGCATCTCATGACACTCAAACGGAGGGCTTGATAGGAGCCACTAACCCAAATTCAATCCAGGTTTTACGGCCCAGCTACAAAACACTCGTGACGGAGTGCGCCTCTTTGAACCCCATCTCGTGTATACGAAACTCACAACATCCCACGCAAGCATGGAACGATCATCGCCGCGTCTTATCAGCAAGACACTCAAACAGGGGAGCCCAACTTTTAGCAATGCTGTAAGTTGAAGATGTCACTCCCCCAAGATTCTGATGCCTTCTGGACTTCTGAAGAAATTTGGGTTTGAGGTGGGTTGCCGGACCCAAACATCAACAGCCCCTAAACCCTTAAACACTAAACCCTAAAGCCTAAACTCTTAAACCCCACACCCTAAACTCTTGTTTCTTCATGGCAAGGGCGCGCAGCTGACTCTGCTCACTTTTCTGCCCGAGCTTCTTCTGCTTGGGGGCTCCTTCAAAGGGTTTAGGGTTTGAGGGTTTGAGGGTTCAGAGTTTAAGGTTTAGGGTTTGCGGGTTTAAGGTTTTGGGTTTAAGGGTTCAGGGGTTCAATCCTTTCATAAGAATTTCACCCCTAATATTATTAGTTCCCACAAGAGATCACATAGATTGGGGTACGTGTTAAAGTGACTGGTGGTTTCTTAAGGAAAAAAGGAATATAATGCCCATACAACCCTGTAAAATCATATAGAAATTCCTTTGTTCTCGACCAACTCCCAAGTAAGCCTGAACCCTGTACCCTGAATGGTATAGCTTCCATCTTCTGCTCCATTATTCCTATATAACCCCCTATGACACCCTTTAAAGTTCCACCGATAAGTAGTAGGGGTGGGGAGGGCAATAAGTAAATCGTAAACCCGGAGCCCTAAACCCGGGAGGTGTCCAATATAGACCCCAAGAAGCCATGGTTCTGATGAAATTAGGGTTTTGGTATGTTTAAGGTTTAGGGTTTAAATTGACGGTTTAGGGATGTTTGGGGTTCAGGGTGTAGGTAGGGGGTAAATAGGGTTCATTGGAAACATCCATTCGTTTCAGTTGTCAGGTCGGTTTTGTCGCCCACCCGTTCACGAACTGTTCACGGCCTTATTGCTCGTCAACTGTGACAAGTGCTGGTGTTCATGTATCCCATAGTCTAAACTCCTAGTACCCCCTTATTAACCCTAAAATGATTCCATACATAATCCCCTATATAACCGCCCTTTACGGATTTAGAGTGCAGCGCATATATCCCAGGTCTAGACTGTTCAACGGCAGCACCTGCCCCCCAACCTGCAACGCTGAACCCTCATTGAACGGCTTCGCGTTGTGACCCTACACCCTGAACCATGATCACCTCCATTAGCATATTCACATTTGTCTGGTGGTGTTTGGGTAGTCGGTTAAGGGTCGCGAACCAACTTGGCTGTGGCTGGAGGCTCAGAGCTACTCTTTTTGATAAATACTTATCTACAATTACGGAACATGCAAGGATGTTATCAAAGCCAGAGGAGGATGTTTCTTTAGTGGTTGAACCACACAATTAAGGTCAAAGAAGCTATGATCTAACTCTATATCGGAGACTTTTATATACCCTTCAGAAAATACCACTCAACCCCTACAACAGTTTTCATGTCATTGTCTTTGGTTTTCTTTTTGATGACCGAAACGTAGTTCTAGTTGTATCCCCACAAACACTACTACTTATATGGAACTCCTTGATCGAAGCAGGGAGCCCAGGGACCCGTGGCATTTTCCAACAGTGTTGATGCCGGAACATTTTAGGTTTTAGGGCTTAGGGTTTAGGGTTTAGGGTTTCGGGATAGGGTTAGAGGCTTGGGGTCTTGGAAGTGCAACTTCACAACTCATTGCGGAAAGCTCTCAGCCCTGGCCACCTTAAATCAAGGTTTGAAGTTGGGTGGGAATACCCTCACAAAAGCCCTAAACCCTACACCCTAGACCCCCAAACCATAAACCCCAAACCCGTATGCCATACCTGACTCAGTTGGCAACTACAGGCCTGAATTGACGCTCAATCTGTGACTCCCTTCCAACCACAACTTTCCCAAAGCAGTCCAAACCTTCATGAATTTTAAGTAGTAAATGCCATCAGCATCCGGAAAAAAAGAGCCGATGACAATAGTAATTGCAATAAGATGCAATAAGAATCATCTTGCTAAGTGACGCATGCTACGGCAACCAAACTGAATTGTCCTTGCTTGGTGGGCTGCGCGTCTTCCTTTTTCTGGTGGCAAGCAGCTATGATGCAGTAAAGCTTTGTACTGTGATGTGCAACCTTGCCTGGGACCGCAGACCAACAACTTCAGAACCGCTGATCCCTACCTTTAGGTAATATGCGGAACTTATTTTGCGGTATGCGCTTGTACAGGAACATGTATACCTAAAATACCAGCTTTCCAGGCACATGTTAAACGCATCCCGCCGAGATCAGCAGCACATGCGAGGAACAGAGCCATACACCAGCAAGTCGTATGACGCACACAGGAAAACAACACAGTGAGATCACAAATGCTGGTATGTAATACCATCTTCGAGGAAGCCTCTTCATCACAAAGATGATGGTATACAGGGCCTCGGCCATCAGCCGCAACTGCTGCGCAATGCAAATCATGCTGCTGCAGATGGACAGTAGGTTCATCGCAACTTGCCCAGTTGGAACAGACTCGATGGTCAAGCTAAGCATAGAGATTTGGAACCAAAGGCTTGGAAGAGCTTCGGCGAAGACCTTTGGCATAAAGGTGGGGACACGATCAACTAGGGGATATATCGACGGATCCATCTTCGTCTCGACAAGGACAAGCTGTCCAAAGACATCGTGCAACAGCATTAAGCCACCAATATCTGCTGTGTGCTTCCAGTTGTACCACAGGGAGCGTCTAACTTTTGCATCAAGCACTACTTCACAGCTTTCATGCCTGACCCGTGCTTCCTCCATGAGAAAGTTGAACTGAAGGATCCTCACGTGTAACTCTAGCAGCTGGAGAATGGTTGCCACCAGAAGTATCAGAAGCAAAATACAAGGCATCCCTAACCAGGCAACTAATCGACCCACCAGAGGTACTGGCTCCCATGATGCCGCAAACTTCTTCTTGATGGGCTCGGTGAAGGTGTGCAGCGCACTGGCCGCCTGCCAGGCATCCAGAGCGGGATCTACAGCTTCAATAATCCCAAGCATCCATGTGCCGGCGCTCGAGGAAATGCAGGGCATCCATGAAGAGGAGCCATTTCGGAGCTCCAGAAGTGCACGAGCGTGACATTCCCAGATGTCTCTAGGTTCCTGGCGCTGGCGCTGAAGAAAAAGGCGTAGCCTTCCTATCATCCAGAACTGGAATCTTGTGGAGCCCGTGAAAACCAGACAGATGACAACCGCAGCAACTGCTTTGCAGTCCTTCATGACCAATATCAGAATCACGGGGATACACGCAAACTGTACATAAGCCGTCGCAACACTCTGCCAGTAGCTTTGCTGGAAAAATTCTGTACCGCAGCCATCTTCGCCCGCGTCGCTCGGCAAGTCGGCAAACATCGTGCTTAGCTCGTTGCATTCTGCGCTGTCAACCTCGCTCTCCACGCTTGTACATTCACTTCCTATCCGGGACATTGGGCCTGCCCACTCCGGTGCAAGCCAAAAACTAATTTGCAGCTGCCGCAGCCCACGAGGTCCTGGCGAAGATGCACTCCACCCTGGATGTAGCAAACTCGAGCAGCCCCGAAGCAAGCATGATTTTACTTCTGCAAAGGAGGATGATTAGATTCGCAACAGTGCAAGCCACACAAGATGATGGCTTGACACGTCTCAAACCTGTCTGGGACTTCTACTGTCTTGGAAAAATCTGCGGACTATAGAGTACGCACAATGTGCCTGAATAAGACGATCGATTCCATGTTCTTTTCCACTCCTCTTTTATTGCAATCCCCCTGTAACTAGGCGTCTTCCGATCATGTCCAAATGGATCCAAGTTTCAGT